CGACGTTTCGGTCCGACTTGGACCAAGTCGGACTGAAACGTCGTCGTATGCTCCTCTCTTCTATGTGCGGGTTATTTGTGTAACAGCGATATTAACAACAACACCAACAGTAGCCACTACAAGAACAGCGATAGTAACAACAACAACAGTAGCCACTTCAAAGACAACGATATTAACAACAACAACAATAGCCACTAGAAGAACAACGATATTAACAATACCAATAGTAGCCACTACAAGAACAACGACAACAACTATCTCCCCCACCCTCCCTGCCGGTACCACCCAGCAGCTCACCACCACTGCTGTCAGGGATCAACAAAGACACACTCAAGGGTAAATTAGTGCACCAGGTGTCGCTTAAGGGCGATCATATCTTAAACTTCACCGAAGCGTCGTCAAGACCACACTGATATATCCCATTTGTTAGGCTATCCCCATTTGTCGTCAGTTTCCATTCGTTTCACAGGGCGCAACAAATATTGCATCAAGTATACCACAGACCATAGCAACCCACATGAGCTCCACATGGGCTCCACTTGAGCTCCACCGAGCTCCACCGAGGGTTTCCCCTGGGCCCTAAACCCCCCCAGCGGGGTGAATTGCCCCTTAGCTTTTTTTTTTTTTTTTAACACGGACCAACACGCGACTACGTTGTGTATGTTCACCAGTCATGATCCAGAAGATGTATATATATAAAGCACACGCTACTACTCCCTGGTTAACAGCAGTGTGACTGGTGTTAACAGCAGTGTGACTGGTTTTAAAACCAGCGTGTGACTGGTTTTTAAACCCCCAGCAGTGTGACTGGGGGTTAACAGCATGTGGAGGTTTTAACAGCAGTGGGGACGGGTGTTAACAGCAGTGTGACTGGTGTTAACAGCAGTGTGACTGGGGGTTTAACAGCTTGGGGACTGGTTTTAACACAGTGTGACTGGTTAACAGCATGTGACGGGTTTTTTTGTTGGGGGGGTTTGGTTTTAAACAGCAGTGTAAACTGGTTTAACAGCAGGTGACTGGTGTTAACAGCATGTGAATGCGTTTATTTTACTTTTTTTTAACCTTTGAAAACTAAAAAACACTAGCAAATTTAAAAAATTAAGTCGTGCCCCCAACCCCTGTCTACTTTTTGAAATTCATTTTACGTCTCCCTCGTCCAACTTACAGTCATTACCTTTTTTGTACCTTACTACAGCCCTGTAAAACTTCTGTTTTTTTACTGGGTGTGTGGGCACTTGGGTATATTGCTAAAAAACGTTTCCCCTGACAATAGACTTCTGAAATTTTGAATATAGGAGAACGAAACGGGGAGAAAACAGAAAAAGTTTTAAAGAAAACAGCCCCATAAAAAATTTTTCGACTGAAGAAGCCCGTTGTACGGGCGAAACGTTTTGGCAATAAATTTTCCCCAAAGTTTTTCATTTGTAAAACTTATTCAAAAACTTGTCGCTGTTTTTCCCTTTACACCCACTGATATGATTACTAGCCATATACACATCTTCCACACCGTCTGCACATTTTTCCCCAAAACCTTCTAGCACATCTCCCCCCACCGCCCCTTTAAGCAAAATCTTCCAACCGCCCTGGGCACATTTTCCCCCAACCGTCAGCACATCTTCCACCCCGGGTCTAGACCCCCTTCCCTTCCCCCCACACCGTCTAGACATTTTAACACCGCCCAAAGCACATCTTCCACACCGTCTTAAGCAAAAATCTTCCACACCGTCTAGCACATTTTTCCCCCCCGTCCTTGAACACCCTTCCACCCGTTCTGAAAAATCTTCCAAAAACACCGTCTAGAACATTTCCCCTTTTTACTATCGAGCATTTTAAAACCTCTGTACAATCAGCAGACATTACACCTCTGTAAAAATCATGCAGCATGGTACACCTCTGTAAAATCATGCAGCAGTAAAACACCTTTTACAATCATGCCAAAACAGGTACACCTCTGTAAAATTCATGCAGACGGGTACACCTCTGTACAATCATGCAGACATGTACACCTCTGTACAATAAGGGAACAGTACACCCCTGTAAAATCATGCAGAAAGGTACCCCTCTGTAAAATTTCATGTAGACAGGAACCCCCTCTGTACAATAATGCGGGGACATGTACACCCCCTGTAAAAACCATGAGCCCGGGTAAAACCTTTCTGTACAATCATGCAGACATGAAAAACCTCTGTACAATCATGAGACATGCCCCTCTGTACAATCATGCGGGACAGGTACCCCTCTGTACAAAAAATGCAGACAGGTAAACCTTTTGTCCCAATCATGCGGGGACATTTTACCCCTCTTTTAAAATCAGGGCCGGACATGTACTCTTCCTGTACCCCAAATCATGCGGGACAGGTACCCCTCTTTTCAATATGAAACCCAGGTACACCTTGTAAAAAATTTATGCAGACAGTACCCCTCTGTAAAATTTATGCAAAACAGGTACACCCTGTCCCAATAAAGCAGCCCATGTACACCTCTGTAAAAATCATGCAGACAGGTAAAAAACCTCTGTACAATCTGCAACAGGTACACCTTTTTTGGTAAATTTAAATTGGGCAAAAAAATTTTTTGGGTTTACCCCTTTTTCTTTTACAAAAAATCCGGGGACATGCCCACCCCCTTACAAAAAAAAGGGGAAAGGCCCCTTGGGGGTTACACCTTGTACAATAATGCGGGGCCCAGGTAAACACCCCCCCGGGGGGTTAAAAAAACCCCCCCAATGCAGGAAAAGAAAAAATTTTTCTGTACTTGGTTTTGTACCAGGAAAACCACCTTTGAAATTTTTTATGGAGGGGAAAACCCGGGCCCCTTTTGGCTTCCCCGGGTCTAATAAAAAGAAGATTGGTTAAAATCAGGAATTTGAGGTAATCAGCCCCTCACCCTGGATTCCATGTAATCAGTCCATCAATCTTGAAAAAAGTACGGGATATTTCGCGAAGGAAATGGCTTATTTACTGTAACCCGGTTTAGGGACTGATGACCCCCAAAAATCCTGATCTTCAACCATTCCCTTTTTTGTATTGGACCCGATGAAGCCCCCTGTGTGGTGAAACGTTTCCTCAATAAAGAAATTTCCCAAATGTTGCCCCCATGTATCTAATATTCAACAAGTTTTGGGGTATGTAAAAACCCTTTTATCTACCTTGCTACACTGAGGTACGCTTCGGTGCCTTCCCACTTTTTTTTGTATTCTTCGGGAAGCAATAAACCCCCAAGGCTCATAAAGCGCCGTAAAATTTTGGGAAACGAGTTTGTTTTCCCCGGGAAAGGGAAAAGGGAACCCGTGGTTCTGAGATTTAAAAGTCCTTCCTGATACCAACTTTTTATCAGTCATGCACACTTATCTTCCTACAGTTTTGTCACTTATATTTTTCTTCCTGCAGTCCCTGAACACTTAAATTTTTCCCACAATTATGTACACTTATTTTCCCTTTAAAAACATGTACAAAATTTTATTATCTTCCTACAATCTTTACATTTATTATCTTCCCACAATCATATACACTTATATTTTCTTCCCACAATCAAGTACAAATTAAAATTATCTTCCTACAATCTATCACTTATATTATTTCCCAACATTTTTACCCCTTATATTATCTTCCTACAATCATGTACCCCTTATAAATTTTCTTCCTACAATCAAAAATAAAAAAAACTTATATTATTTCCCACAATCATTTACACTTATATTATCTTCCTACAATATATACATTATATTTTTCTTCCTACAATTTATGTAAAACTTTCATTATTTCTTTCCTTTAAAGTACACCCTAAACCCTTTCCCATGTTAAGTACATATTTGTAATCTTTCAACACTATGTACTTACATATTTTTGGTACTACCGTGTAAACAATCTTGTACGTCCTACAGTTATGTATTCATCGGAAAGAGGTGGGTTCAACTGGCGGAAGTGGGTTTTCCCGTGGGTGATCAACAAGGATCAAGGTTGCTTTTAGGTTTTAAGCTTAAGAATCCCATGAAAACTTTTTTTCAAAAATCTTCTTACGACGAAATTGGGGGCGTGAGTATCAGGACCCGGCACTCCTTGAAGGTTTTTTTGGCCCTCCCCAAAGTGCCTAGCTTTTTTCCCTTTAATTTTTCTGGGGATTCTGAAGTTTTTGATCACAGACTTGTTCCAGAGTCTGTAAATTTACCTTTGGGGGCCCTTTTCTCCTTTTCTACAGATTTCATAACATACTTTTCTTTCATCAACCCGCTTGTCTAGATCGTGTAGCAAAGGGGGGTTTTTCCCTTTTCCTCTTTCCGGGTTTTTTTTTTCTCATCATTAATTTTTCACGTAAAATTTCTAAAATGAATTTTATATTGGGGCCTTCTTTCCTCTCTCCCTCCCTGCAGTTTTTATATATACCAGAAACGGAACTGGTCCCAGTACCAATCATTGCTGAGTTTCTTGTCCACCTTATACCGCTTTCTAGATCATCATTCATTCTCCTTTTCCAAGAAAAGTTATTTATTACCTTTGTTTAATTTCCCTTTCCCCGCTCCCCCAAACTTATGGGCTTTTTCTTGTACGAAGCGCGTTTAAATGCCGTGGCTTGGTTTGGGAGCGCTCTCAGCTCACACACTGAGGGGCCGGAATCGATCCCCGGGCACGGGTGAAACGTTGGAAATGTTTCCTTACACCTGCTGCTCCTGTTCACCTAGCAGTAAGTAGGGACCTGGGTGTTAGTCAACTTGTTGATGCTAGCTAGATCTGCAATGGCTGTGCCATCTACTTGTAGAAATAAAGATTATTATTATTATAGTCAATCCATGCCCTCATTTTCCAGTTATATTTATGTAAACCTATCACAGAAATTTATCAGGATATACCATCTTCAAATCCGTGCTGGTTTGTATTTATGAAGCCACTTCTCTCCGTATGCTCCACCACACTACTTCTAATCATCCCCTCTATTACCTTATTCAGTATGCCTGTCAAGGATACTGGCCCGTAGTTTAACGTTTCTGTCGGTCACTTTTCTTATATGTGGTAACTACATGATCTGTTTTCCACATTTCTGGCAACTGCACTTTTTCCTTTAACTTTTAGATTTTCGCTAGCGCTTCACACAGTGCCTCTCCTTCCTCGGAACCAATAGCGATTCTTTATCAGATCTCTCTGCCAATGATATATCTAGTTCACTCAGTAGCTTTTTCACTTTTCCCTGCTGTGTTGGAGTACAACAGCCGCTGTTGTATCATTTTCGCTTCTCTGGAGTTGTCTATGGCTTCATAGAGAACACCTAAATCATTTGTTCAGTTCTTCGCAAACTTAGCTCTCCCCATTCCTTCCACATTTTTATTTCCTGCTCGTTATTGATATCATCTTTCTAATGACTGAGTGGCAGTTTTGGTTCAGATTTTCCTTTATTTATATAGGTGAGTAAGCATTCATCTCCTTTAGTCTTACTATAGTCAGCGTTGCATTAATATTGTCTCCGCAACATTTTCTGGCGAAGCCTCTGGCCATCACTTTTCATCTACCTAAATATACCGTTATATGTAGATATTTTTTTTAGATTTTATTATTTTGTATTATATTTATCCCAAACATTTTTATTGTATCTGACAAGAGATTAAAATACTGATGCTTAATAACTTCTCACTGTATTGTGATGATGGGGGTTATCTAGACGGTGAGCGTCAGGTGCGGCAGCTGGTTCTTGAGCTGGAGTTCTCTCGTGCGATTGGCCACCATCTGGTACAGACGTTCGTGCCCTCTTTCCTGGTGGTGTGTCTCTCATGGTTCAGCTTCTGGCTAGGTTTGGACGCCATCCCCGGCAGAGTGACGCTGCTGGTCACCTCATTACTCACACTCACCACACTCTTCACAGGCATCAAGGAAGGCTTGCCCCCTGTAGCCTATGTCAAGGTGAGTTTACTTCTTCATTTCAGGTTACTCAGGGATTTCCTCCTACCCTTCTACCTTATTTATAAAAAAAAAATCGTTCATGTTAAGAGCTAAACTGATGTGGGTCACTCAGTGCAAGACGTGGTAGAGGCTTGATCCTCCGTCTGCTAAGCGTGAGACAGACGTACTTCTTTTATTATAACAAAATTAAGTACCACACTGCATCATGTGGCTTCCCTGATCTATAAGAGAAAGTATTAAGTATACTTAAAATACCCATGACCCTGGGTGGTTTTCTTGTATATTATATATATATATATATATATATATTATATATATATATATATATATATATATATATATATATATATATATATATATATATATATACACCGTCACAGTATCAGCCTGAGCTATGAGATTGCAATAGGGCGATTAGGATATCGTTATGCATTACACTAGATTCAGTAGTTATTACGGCTTAAGGTTTCATCAAGGGGTTTTCTGTCTGTTTCAGTCTTAAACAAAATAGTTATCACGTCCAGTTGCTTACAGTGCTAGGTTCAACTCTATTTCTAACTTTATGCAGAAAAAGTTCTCCTAGTCAGTATCGTCAATCAGTTTAATCTTCACAAGGGAACACTGGCCCCTCTCTCACAGTAAAAAGATATTATCTGGCCTGCCCTCTCCTCCTTTGGGCAAGAATTTATACCACATGAAAGAATGTACGGCATTCTGACGAGGGGAATATTCTTGTTCAAAAAATAGAACTATTAGTGTTCTAATGCTAAATTTTCCAGCTGTTAATGGAACGTTCTATCTCTCCACCCCACACCCACACCCACACACAACACACACACACACACACACACACACACACACACACACACAAGCATAAGTGCCTGGAAACACGTGGTAACGACGTTCAATATACTCACGAGGAACCTATAGTGTGGACAATGGCAGGTTGTCCGAAAAGCGGGAACTAGGTATACGACGCACGGAACAGTTTGACGTTAAAAACACAAATGAGTCGCAGGTATATTTCTTTCAGCCTCAGAGCGATCAAGAGAAGGAATGACCACGAGGCGGAGACAGGATCCAAACACAGCTTTTCAACAATTGTTAAGAAAGTACTCACGAAGCCAGGAGAGTGAACCAGTAAGTCAGGTGAACCCAGTAGCGGCCAGGTGAATATGTACACACATTGACAGATAAAGGCTCACACACCACTAAGTGCTGACTATTTCCTGTGCGTTGCAGGCTATCGACGTGTGGATGGCAGGCTGCATGGTGTTCATCTTCGCCGCGCTGGGAGAGTTCGTTATAGTGCGCTGGCTCAACATGAGACGACCTCCCAAGCAGGTAGACCCCGCCTACCTTTGCAATACACACAACTTATCCAACTTCTCCACCTCGTTAAAGCCTACACTCCTCTAAGAGAATAAATCAGCAGCACGGTCATTGCCGTTTCAACTGTGTGTTGTAACTATTCCTGTTCGCCTCCCTCCGGCCCCCTACAAGGTTTTGTGACATATTTAACTTTCAATGTGCTCTTCAAACTTTGCTTTTAATCTTGCTGAATGTGACAAAGGAAGTACAGTACCTCAAGGTAGGACTAATAAGCTAAGAGTCAATTTGATGATTAGGAAATTAATGTGTAGCATTTACAAATATTTATTATTTAGTTTTTTTTTTTTTTTTTTTTGCATTACTGTACATATTACCATTTGAGTTTTTGTATTTTAGCCAACATTATTAAAAAATTCGTTCTCATAAAAGTAATAGTTGCTATATATTATTATTATCTATTTTGTTCCCTTTTAGCTTTGTAAATAATTTGTATACAACTGTAGAGTTGTGTATATATAGGAATCTAAGTAGACAGACATCAGAGAAGATACATTGTAAGATGTCAGCGTTATCAGCCAGCATATTAGACAATGTGATCACCTTCAACAATTGAGTTTTCCCAGCTAAGTTTTTGAGACTTCCGCCTGAACATCCTGTCCTCATTTTCACATTTCGTATTGTTATTATTGTCCACCAGCTAAACTACGACGTACGGCTACAAGACCATAAATAATACATTCACTTGAAGAATGTATTTCCTATACAGTGCAATATATATTTTACTTTTAATATTTGCATAAGGTTACGCATAAGGTTACCTAACTTAATGGCTAAAAATATATCACTTGTATAAAAACTGTAGCCTTAATGTAAAAATATTTTATATGCTTTCTTATAGCAGATGTCATATATTATTGGTAGAACATTATATAAGAGTATTGCATACCCAAATGTGGACAGGTTACTTTCCGTATATCAGTACGCTTGTTGATAACATTATCACTGAAGTAAATACCAAGGCGTATATTTCCCTCAGAATATATATATATATATATATATATATATATATATATATATATATATATATATATATATATATATATATATATATATATATATATATATATGCAAAACGCAAAACAACCACTGTGAAAGAATAGAGAAATTCCAAGCGCTTTCGTGACTATTCTTTCACAGAAGTTGTTTTGCATATTCTGAAATCACCTGTTTACAGTGATCTTATTGCATATATATATATATATATATATGGAATAGGTGGTAAGTTACTAAATGCTGTAAAGAGTTTTTATGAGGATAGTGAGGCTCAGGTTAGGGTGTGTAGAAGAGAGGGAGACTACTTCCCGGTAAAAGTAGGTCTTAGACAGGGATGTGTAATGTCACCATGGTTGTTTAATATATTTATAGATGAGGTTGTAAAAGAAGTAAATGCTAGGGTGTTCGGGAGAGGGGTGGGATTAAATTATGGGGAGTTAAATACAAAATGGGAATTGACACAGTTACTTTGCTGATGATACTGTGCTTATGGGAGATTCTAAAGAAAAATTGCAAAGGTTAGTGGATGAGTTTGGGAGTGTGTGTAAAGGTAGAAAGTTGAAAGTGAACATAGAAAAGAGTAAGGTGATGAGGGTATCAAATGATTTAGATAAAGAAAAATTGGATATCAAATTGGGGAGGAGGAGAATGGAAGAAGTGAATGTTTTCAGATACTTGGGAGTTGACGTGTCGGCGGATGGATTTATGAAGGATGAGGTTAATCATAGAATTGATGAGGGAAAAAAGGTGAGTGGTGCGTTGAGGTATATGTAGAGTCAAAAAACGTTATCTATGGAGGCAAAGAAGGGAATGTATGAAAGGACAGTAGTATCAACACTCTTATATGGGTGTGAAGCTTGGGTTGTGAATGCAGCAGCGAGGAGGCGGTTGGAGGCAGTGGAGATGTCCTGTCTAAGGGCAATGTGTGGTGTGAATATTATGCAGAAAATTCGGAGTGTGGAAATCAGGAGAAGGTGTGGAGTTAATAAAAGTATTAGTCAGAGGGCAGAAGAGGGGTTGTTGAGGTGGTTTGGTCATTTAGAGAGAATGGATCAAAGTAGAATGACATGGAGAGCATTTAAATCTGTAGGGGAAGGAAGGCGGGGTAGGGGTCGTCCTCGATAAGGTTGGAAGGAAGGGGTAAGGGAGGTTTTGTGGGCGAGGGGCTTGGACTTCTAGCAGGCGTGCATGAGTGTGTTCGATAGGCGTGAATGGAGATGAATGATATTTGGGACCTGACGAGCTGTTGGAGTGTGAGCAGGGTAATATTTAGTGAAGGGATTCAGGGAAACCGGTTATTTTTATGTAGCCGGATTTGAGTCCTGGAAATGGGAAGTACAATGCCTGCACTCTAAAGGAGGGGTTCGGGATATTAGCAGTTTGGAGGGATATGTTCTGTATCTTTATACGAATATGCTTCTAAACTGTTGTGTTCTGAGCACCTCTGCAAAAACAGTGATTATGTGTGAGTGAGGTGAAAGTGTTGAATGATGAAAGTATTTTCATTTTGGGGATTTTCTTTCTTTTTGGGTCACCTTGCCTCGGTGGGAGACGGCCGACTTGTTAATATATATATACACACACACACACACATATATATATATATACATATATATATATATATATATTATAATTTTTAAATATATATATATATATATATATGTCGTGCCGAATAGGTAAGACGCGATTCTGGCTTAAGTAGCAACGCTCTTGTTGCCGAATAAGACAAGCGAAAATTTGTGTATGCAATAATTTCGGAAAAATCATTCTGAATCTAACGAGAAAAATATATTTCATTGCGTTTGTTTATTATTAAATTATTGCAAACTTATCTAAAATATATTTAGTTGGATTAGGCTAAATTAAAATGCGCTTGTTATAATAAGGTTATTTAGGTTTTCTAAGGTTCTTTTGATACAAAATTATTAATTTCTAGATTAACATAAATGAAAAAAATATATATCTTTAAACGTATGAGAAAATTTTAGAAAGGACCTAATTTTAAATGAGTTCTTGCTAATTGATTAATTCTACCTATTCGGCACGATACACACACACACACACACCAGTGAAGAGGCGGGGCCAGGAGCTTGGACTCGACCCCTGCAATCTCAACTAGGTTAGTACAACTAGGTGAGTACACACACACACATTATATATATATATATATATATATATATATATATAAATATATATATATATATATAATATATATATATATATATATATATATATTTTATATATATATATGTCGTGCCGAATATGTAAAACTGGTCAATTAACAAGAACTCATTTAAAATTAAGTCATTTCTAAAATTTTTTCTTATACGTTTAAAGATATATTTTTTTCATTAATGTTGATGTAAAAATTTATAATTTTGCACCAAAAGGAACTTAGAAAACTTACCTAACCTTATTATAACAAGAACAATTTATTTTAGCCTAACCCAACTAAATATATTTTAGATTTGTTTACAATAATTTAATACTAAACAAACACAGTGAAATATATTTTTTTCGTTAGGTCAGAATGATTTTGGCGAAATTATTGCATACACAAATTTTCACTTGTCCTATATAGCAAGATAAGCATTGCTATTTAAGCCAAGATCGTAAATTCTGCCTATTCGGCACGACATATATAATATATATATATATATATATATATATATATATATATAAAAATATAATATATATATATATATATATATATATATATATATATATAAAATATATATGCAATAAAATTACAGTAAAGAGGTGATATAATATGCATAACAACCACTGTGAAACAATAGTGAAATTCCAAGCGCTTTCGTGACTTCTCACATTATCAAGGAACTATAAAAAACAAAACATCAACAGGAAGCATATAAAGGAATAAGATTACACCTCACAGTCACGTCACAACAACCAGACTACACCTCACAGTCACGTTAAAACAACCAGACTACACCTTACAGTCGCGTGTGTTTCACAGAGTTGGGTGTTGTCACCGGACTGCGAGGTGTAGTCTGGTTGTTGTGACGTGACTGTGAGGTGTAATCTTATTCCTTTATATGCTTCCTGTTGATGTTTTGTTTTTTATAGTTCCTTGATAATGTGAGAAGTCACGAAAGCGCTTGGAATTTCACTACTTTCACAGTGGTTGTTATATATATATATATATATATATATATATATATATATATATATATATGCAAAACAACCATTAAGAAAGAATAGAGAAATTCCAAGCGTTTTCGTGACTACTCGCATTATCAAGGAACATTGTTCCTTGATAATGTGAGTAGTCACGAAAGCGCTTGGAATTTCTCTATTCTCTCACAGTGGTTGTTTTGCATATTCTGAAATCACCTGTTTACTGTGATCTTATTGTATATATATATATATATATATATATATATATATATATATAATATATATATATATATATATATATATATATATATATATATATATATAATATCTTTAATCCTTATTTTAGGGATTTTTTTTTTATATTTTAGTGAAAAACGCAATACAGAGTTATACATGTAGACAATGTAAGCAATGAAACGTATCCATTATATATAACAAAAGAAAACTCAACATTCCCTACCGTAGCACTAAACTTGTACATAAAACTAAACTAAAGACAGCCCACAGCTTCATATACAGGTGGGTTTAGTACATCCAAAATTGCATCCATAAACACAATATGCAATATAACCCAAAGAATGTCACAGGTATTGACATTTTACATAAAACTGTATGTACGAAGACATTCTCAATTATCCAAAAATTCTTTACACACTTATTATTGTTGTATATTAAACTTCATATCAAATACATAATACGTAACACCTCAATAATTACGAAACAAATAAAGGTTAGAAAATAACAATCTCCACACCTCACCACAAAAACTAAACACAGTATAATATAACAAATGATTCGTCCCACCTCACTTCCATACA